TTAAAAAGTGATTCATTGTTTTCCTGAAATTCAAATTTCTATTTTATATGGCAACCCTATCTAGAGAATAACAGTAATTAGCAAACTATTCCAATTAACTACAAAAGGTGTAATAGAATCAGACTGCATAGAAATGAAGCCTTTGAAAGTGTAAATGACATAATGCAAAAGAATTCTTTTATTATGCAAAATTTACCTTGGAATTTAGGAGTTCTGTTTGTTTTTGTTTCTTTTTAAGCCTTTAATCATTGTTTTTCCAAGATTCTTTTTGCAAAAAAAAAAAATCAGGTCTAGGAAAAGATAATGTTCTGAAAATATTAAACACTTCAGACCATGACTAACATGTGCAGACTGGAAAACAGACTTTGTCACAGACGCCGTGACCTGTGATCACTGGTTGGCAATCACACTAGTAAACTCTAGAACCATTTCTAAAGGGGAGAAAAGTAGGGAAAGAACACCATCACTTTAATCTTTCTCTTTAGGAACTTGTCACAAGTAACAAAAGCCCCCTTTACAGGATTTTAGAGAGAAGCTTTATATAAAGAAGATGCAGCTCTGGTTTTCTATCCTAAAGCTGCTTGGAACGTGAATGAATTTAAACTAAGTCAGTTGATCTTCAGTCCTTCTATATAAAGCGCCAAGTGGTGACATAACTTTCTCTAGTTTTAGTTAGACTCTTTCCAGTAATAGTCCCCAGTGGACACTTTACATGCCAAAAGCATGATAAAAAGTCTATAAAACAAATAATTCTTAGAATATACTATCATAATCTTTAATCCTAAAGTACAGTAGAAAAAACTGAATGGAGAGGCTCAGCACTATCTAAAACTACCCTTTCCAGGCCTGTCATTTCCCTGAAAGTCCCCAGTTATAATTCCCCTTATCATTCCCTCCCAGAAGTTCACCTCTACGGGGTTCTTCATCAGCTACTTGTCAGCTGCCAGAAAGGAAACCCAATTTATTAAAGTCTACAATGGACCTTGGACTCTGAGAAGTACATACTAGCCTATTGGGGCCCGCTCTCATGTCTCTAAATTAGCAGTTCTCAAATTTTTTTGGTTTCGGGATCCCTTTGCAACTCCTAAAAATTATTGCAGCCTCTAAGAGATGTTTGGTTATGGGGGTGATGTCTGTCAATATCTATTGTATTAAAAAAAATAAAGTGAGAAATATTTAAATACTTATTCACAAATTCCACAAATTTATTTATGGACAAATGACAATAATGAACTCTACATGTTGACATGATATTTTTTTACTCTTGCTTTTATAAATGTTTTTCAAAAATAAGAATTTAGTGAGAAGAGTAGTATTGTTTAAATTTTTACAAATTTCTTCTGTGCCTGGGTTAATAGAAGACAGCTGAATTCTCATATCTTCTGTATTCGGTCTGTCGCAATATCATATAAGCACATCATGCAGCCACTGGAAAAATCTACTGCATACTCATAAGAGAATGAGAATGAATAAGGCAAATAAAGTATAGCAAGAACAATAATAACGATCTATTGAGCTTCTGTTTTGACCGAGGCACATGAATTATCCTATCCAAGTCTCACAAGGACTCTAGGTAAAAGGTATTTGTTATGGACATTATGCAGCTGAGAAGGCTAAGAAAGTGCCTGGCTAAGTAAATAGCCCAAAGTCAGGCAGAGAAAAGTGACAGATCCGGTTCTAAGCCAGAGCTATTAACTTTCTACACTGTCAAGTGTGAATGAGGGCTGATGGGCCAAGCTTAAAAACGGGAGCGGTGTGTTTCACTGGTGGCGCAGTGGTTGAGAGTCCCCCTGCCGATGCAGGGGACACGCGTTCGTGCCCCGGTCCGGGAAGATCCCACATGCCGCGGAGCGGCGAAGCCCGTGAGCCATGGTCGCTGGGCCTGCGCGTCCGGAGCCTGTGCTCCGCAACGGGAGAGGCCACAACAGTGAGAGGTACCGCAAAAAAAAAAAAAAAAAAAAAAAAAGGGGGGGGGAAGGGTAAGCTGGGACAAAGTGAGAGAGTGGCATGGACATACATACACTATCAAACGTAAAATAGATAGCTAGTGGGAAGCAGCCGCATAGCACAGGGAGATCAGCTCGGTGCTTTGTGACCACCTAGAGGGGTGGGATAGGGAGGGTGGAAGAGGCAAGAGGGAAGAGATATGGGGACATATGTATATGTATAATTGATTCACTTTGTTATAAAGCAGAAACTAACAGACCATTGTAAAGCAATTATACTCCAATAAAGATGTAAACAAAAACAAACAAACAAACAAAACCTTCCTATTATAGTCAACATTTCATTAAAAATTACATTGAAGTAAAACATCTCCAACTGATTAGACCCTGCCTCAACTCAATAAAACCAAACCCACTGTTCAGCCTTTAATTATGGCCATCTCATCCAAATTCATCCAAATTCATCCCCTCCTCTCTATCTCCACTGCCATCACTCTGGCTTAGGTCCTCATTACTTTTCAACTGGACTATGGTCATTATCTACTAAGTGCCTCCAGTTTCTCATCAACCTAATAAGCCATCCCACATGCTATCATATTAATCTTTCTAAAGTATAACTCACATCATGTAATTCGTCCACTCAAAAAACCTTCACTTACTACTTATTACTGAATGAATGAATGTCCAGATTCCACATACAGATGGTAAAATGAAATAATATTTGTAAATCACAGTGCCTGACACAGAAGTGTTTAAAAAATCATACTTAAAAGAAAAAAAACTTTTTTTGATTTGTGAATGAGATGCCCCATCTTCCCAGTGCTTCACAATAAGAAATTGTTCCAAAATTACCCATGAACTTCTAACCAAACTCTGTTCACTAAATCCATATTTCACATGTTCTCTGACAACACAAGCCATTCTCAGTATTAGATTAGTAGTAGCAACATTCTCCTTCATAATTTTCTTTCTACCAGTTCCAGGTCACTTCACATTATTCTCCTCTAAACACAGCCTACTCCTTAAATTACTCAACATAATGCGACTTCTCTATGATGAATGATCCTGAAGAATATCTGCCACTTCACCCAAACCCTGGCTAAAATTATCTGTGTCTTCAAAAGATAACTAACGTTGTGGAAAGTGTCCAAAACGTTTAGCTTATATGAAAAGGTTGTTTCGGGACAGCATTCTTGAGAACTCGGAAATGTCCTCGCACACAAGAGACAGCTGGCTGAAGGATCACAAATGGTTCCAGCATCTCTTTGAAGTGTTCAGAGAATTAAGCATCCTGGAACGACTTGTTCATGTTGTTTAAGAACAAGAAAAGCTTTAACAATTTAATTACTTTAATGGGTTCGCAAATGTTTTTGTACGAACTTGCCTGCAGGCCGAAACATATTTTGAAGCCGATGATCTGTATCTGATTTCTATTTTTTACTAGCTGAAAAACAAGCTCATTGTGTATCCAGTAAATAAATATGTGGACGGGCAGAGGTTTGGGACTCTTGACTGTTGGAGTCCTGAGTCCCCTGCTGTTCATCTGTTTAAATCCATTCTCCTTGTCCGCCTCTTCTTTGGGACCCGAACGACAACACTAATGTTATTACTGAGACCCAATTTTGACTTCTCTGGATAAAATTAATCTCTTGAAAAAATCTTTACTTTCACCATAATTTTTTTTACCATAAAAAAATGGAGATGATCTGAAGTCATAAAAGTCTACTCTAATGTAAATACATAGAGGATAACTCTTTGTGGCACAGGACATTGCCTTCTAGTAATTATTTTCAATTGAGATATTTCCTTGTTGTAACACACTGTCCTGCTCATTGTAGAATGTCTAAGCATTCCATTATTCGAGCTATAAAATACAGAAACCCTGCTCTACCCATTAATAGTGATAACCCAAAAAATGCCACTACACATTTCCAAAGTTGCAGCAGGAAGCAGATATAAGGTATGAGAGTGGATCCACTGTGTAAAGCTGTGATTAGATGAGTCACTCTGAGTCCCTGTGGAATGAAGCATTTTGCTTTTGAAGAAAATAAATACCAACAGGAGAAAGACCTAGAGTATTACTGCATTTTAGTAATAGTACTGCTTCTTTAGGTTGACAGGTGAACTCAAAAGAAGCTTGGCTTAAAACGAATGTGAAAAGGCAAAGGAGTGTGGTGAAAAGAGCACTAGATCATTCTAGACAAATCACTTATCTTCTCTGTTTTTGTTACCTCAAGAGTAAAAATGAGACTTCCCTGGTGGTGCAGTGGTTAAGAATCCGCCTCCCAATGCAGGGGACACAGGTTAGAGCCCTGGTCTGGGAAGATCCCACATGCCGCGGAGCCCGTGCACCACAACTACTGAGCCTGCGCTCTAGAGCCCACGAGCCACAACTACGAGCCCATGTGCCACAACTACTGAAGCCTGCGTGCCTAGAGCCTGTGCTCCGCAACAAGAGAAGCCACCGCAATGAGAAACCCGTGCACCACAACGAAGAGTAGCCCCCACTCGCCGCAACTAGAGAAAGCCCACGTGCAGCAACGAAGACCCAAACGCAGCCAAAAATAAATTAATTAACTTTTTTAAAAAATTAAGAAAAGTAAAAGAGTAAAAATGAGGGATTACAACCGGAACCATATATCCTCTAAGGTTCCATGCCAAATTCTGAATGCAGGTTTCTGATGTCCAAGAAGAGACACATAATGGACCAGAAAAATACTAGATTTTTAGGGCAAAGGTCACTTAAAAGGAAAAGAATTATCACAATCATCCAACAAATATTTTGTCAAGTACCTACAATATGGCAGATATTGTGCTAGGCACTAACCTATGTTTGTACAAAATGGTTCTACATCTACTCTAATATACTGTGATTTCTTAGGTGGATGAGAAAGAAAAGAAAAGAAAAGAGAAGGAAGGAAGGAAGGAAGGAAGGAAGGAAGGAAGAAAGGAAGGGAGGAAGGGAGGGAGGAAGAGGCACAATTACCTGGTAAACCCATGTGCCTATACACACACAGTCTCCAGAAGCTGGAGAGACAAGGAACAAATTCTCACCTAGAGCCTGTGGAGGGTGTGTGCTTCTGCCAACATCTTGACTTTGGCCCAGTGATATTGATTTTGGACTTTTGGCCTCCAGAACTGTGAGAGAATAAATTTTTGTTGTTTTAGATCCCAAGTTTATGGTAATTTGTGTCAAACAATAATCAGTATTGAGGCAGCAAAGAAAAAACAGCTTTATTTGGGGTCTTAGGAATTGCAATTTGGGAGACACAGATTCAGGGAAAACCGAAAGAGTGTTCTGGGGAAGAGAAAGAGTCAAGGGCCCACAAAGACTAAAGCCACATGGCTGCCAAAGAACCGTGACCACCCCTGATGCACGTCAGGAAACGTCTGTCCTCCAGGAATCATGAGCTGCTCTAGGGCAAGGGCCCAAACAAGCAGACAGGCTGCCAGGAGCCACCCTAGAGTAACGGTCCAACAAGGATTCTGAGCAGGACAAGAATCAAAAGACCAGATTTCATCCAGGCCAAGGTGCACACAAGTCACACCTCCTCAATGGCCTCCTGGCTCATTTTAGAGAGCTCTCTTAGCAACACCAACTCCATTTTTATTTTCCTTTAACATTTGTTACAGTAGCCACAGGAAACTTATCAACTCCCCTTTCCAATTTCTTCTTTATTTTTATCAATTAGTGGTACCCATTTTCCTCACCACTCAAACTAAACCTGGAGGACTTTCAACGTTTTTGTCTCTTTCATATCTTATAGCTTAGAGGTTTTCAACTCAGAGCCACAACCCATTTGTCAGTGGACTGTAGAATCTTTAGTGGTCACAATCAGAAAACTGTTAATGAAATAAAATAGAAAAAAAATCAGAGAAAATACCTTTATATGATAAGGGTAAGTGAATGCTATTTCATGAGCTTTTCTGATTATGAGTAGATATATCCTGGTTTGTGAGATGAAATGTATTTCTTACTGTGGGCAGCAACCCAAAATGTTGAAACCAATTGCTTTTAATTTCCCCAAGTCAATTATCAGTTCCTTCTTTCTCAATATTGTTGGGAATGAAGAAATTTTACTCCACCCTTCTAGGTTCTTCTGGATGGTTTAAGAATTAAATTGACATGAAACAGAATAACAAGAGAAAATCAAACAAAAGTTTAATAACATGAACACCTGGGAGAGATCCAGGAAAACTGAGTGACTTGCCAAAATGGCCTAAATCCTCACCTTAAGTACCATCTTCAGCTAAAGACAAAAGAGGATGTTGGGGGTAGTAGTTTGGGCAATTTAAAGAGGAGGAAGGTAATTGACATAGAGGCAGAAAAGTAAATGTTTGGTAAATAAATGTTTGCTGGGCCATGCAGAAACTATGGGACACAGAGTGGACTCTGATCTCTAGGTCCAGCTGAGTCCCCATCCCTCCCCCTCCCCCGACCACACTTATATCTCTGGTGATAGCTCTATTCTGGGAACAGGCCCTTTATCTAAATTATTTAGGCAGCCAAGGAGAATGTAGAAGAGAGACTTCCTGAGTCTTCTGTTTCTTAAAAATAATCAGCTTAAATTAATCCTCATGCCAAAGAGACACATTTAGGGGTGGCAAATTTTGCTCCCCTACAATACTTATATGTAAGCCTTCTTCCCACAGACATTAGACTATCGAGGGCCAAAGGCAAAAACAGAATGTGTAAGAGAAAGGGGATAGGACAAAAAAAATAATAATAATAGGCAGTCTGGAAATAGTGAAACTTTTTGTCCATTTTTAGCATAAGCGAATTCACTGATAGCTAACTAAGAGTCCAGTCTGGATGGTGTGCCATTGAGCAGGCTGGCTGGAGTCAACAAAGATAATAATTTCAGTAGTTTATGGATTCTCCAGGAAACTTTGATAATCCCTATGGAGCAAACAGGAGCAGCTGTCTCTTTATGATGGCTGCCATGTCTGTCCATTGGTCCCAACTCTGAGAGGCACTTCTGCACTCATCTAATACTCTCCTCTAGTCTCTTACTTCCCATCAGCCAACAGCAGAGCTGAGTACTGATCACATCAGTGATCTAAGTGCTTAGGAGAGTTGCTTAGTAACTAATCACTCCCAGTGCCTTCTCTGGGTCTAAATCTTTAACACACTGTTCTCTGCTGACCCCAGTAGGCCACGTTTGCTCTTCTCTAGCCTAAAATGGGATATTTTATTTTAAGATGTTAAAAATAAGACTCTAAGTTCAGAACACTGAATAAATTCTTGACCTGAATTACTAATAACTTTACCTCTCTGAGAGCAAAGGAAGCAACAACCAGAACTTTATCTCTTGAGTCAATTCTGATCAACAGAGAAATTTTGATGAATCCAAAGATAGAAAACTTGAGGGAAACAGGAAGAAGTTGGAAGTGGTGGCATCTATTTGGATGGGAAGATTGGTGGGAAACAGGGGAGGAGCAGGTTTGAAGGGTAGAAACCAAGAGATGAGTGTTGGATATATTAGGTTTTAGATGCCATTAAAATATTCAAGTGGAGATATCTTTTCATATACATGTATAAAGATACACATTTGAGTCATTGGCACTATGGTGTGAGCATGGATGGAAAAAAGAAGAGGTCTAAAGAATAAGCCTCAAGTGCACTAATGTTTAGAGGTTGGGAAGAACAGGCAAGTTCAGTAAAGGAAATTGTGATTGATTGGCCAGTAAAGTAGGAAGATAACTGAGAGAGTCCCAAAATGTAGAAAGTGGTACCGGAGGTGGATGAGGTCCATCATGTCCAATGTTGCTGAGAGCTTGAATATACTGGAGACTAACAATTGACAAATGAGCATGGTTCTCAGAGTCACCTGTGGACCTCCTGCATCAGAATTACCTACTTATTAAAATGAGATTTCTGGGCCCACCTCAGACCTACTGGACAGACTTTGTAGGAAGGCACTCAGAACTGTGCACTTAAACAAGCATAGGGTTATTCTCACATACCCAAGAGTTGCTGTATTAGAGTTTTTGTCATTGGAATGATATCAGTCATTTCTCTAGACCCATGGTTCTCAGGCTTTAATATGCATCAGAATCATCTGATGGATTCCTTAAAACACAGTTTACTAGAACCCACCTCCAGAGTTTCTGATTCAGGAAGACTGGGGTAAACCTGAAAAATTGCATTTCTAACAAGATCCTGGCAATGCTAATGCTATTAGTCTGTGGCTACAATTTGAGAACCACTGTACCAATTTTTTTTTAAAGGCCCTTTAAAAACAGAGTAAGAGGGGTTTCCCTGGTGGCACAGTGGTTGAGAGTCCACCTGCTGATGCAGGGGACGCGGGTTCGTGCCCCGGTCCGGGAAGATCCCACATGCCGCGGAGCGTCTGGGTCCGTGAGCCATGGCCACCGAGCCTGCGCGTCCGGAGCCTGTGTTCCGCAACGGGAGAGGCCACAACAGTGAGAGGCCCGCGTACTGCAAAAAAAAAAAAAAAAAAAAAAAAAAAAAAAACAGAGTAAGAATATGTGTGATTCAAAATGTAGCCCCCTTCCCTGGCTAATAAAACTCTAAGATAACATGGTCTTCGAGATAATAAATTTCTCTCAAGTTTTCTCTCTCTCACCATAGCTGGAATTTCTTCAGGGAAGTCTCTGCTTTTAAGGCCTTTTAACATGCTCATTACTGCACCATGCTCACCCCAATATCTCGGACAATCTCCCTTACTGAAAGTCAACTGATTATGGACTTGAATCACATCTACAAAATACCTTCACAGCAACATCTAGATTAGCATTTGATGGAATAACTGGGGATTATAACCGAGCAAAGTCGTTGACATCAAACAACTATCTAAAATAGTGCTCCTTTTAACTCTCTACCCGTACCTTACTTTATCTTCTTCACAGAACTTATCACTACCTGATATTATGTTTACATATTTATTTCTTTATTTATGTATTGGCTAGCTCATCTGCTGGAATATAAGTTCTGTCAGGGAAAGAATTTTATCTTTTGGCTTTGCTTTTAACTACTGTTTGTTCAAATAATCTCCTATTTTGGACATTGTGTTTCATTCTGCTGTTTTATTATTATGAACAACATTAATGTAAATATTCTTGTATATACATACATCCTGGGTCACTTCTTCAATATTTAATTTTTAAAAGTAATCTTTTTTAAATGTCATTTTTTGGTTAATTTTTTTCAAGTCATGTTTATAGAAGTATAATTCTACAAGGAGTGAAATTTTCCCTTTTTAGTGTAGAGTTCTGTGATTTCTGACAAACATGCAGTCATGTAACCACCACAATCAAGAAACAGCATTCATATCACCTCAAAATGTCCCGTTGTGACCCTTTATATTCAACATTTGCCTCACCCCCACTCTAGAAACCATTTGTATTAGTTTGCTAGGACTCCTGTAACAAAGTACCACAAACTCAATTGCTTAAAAAATAGAAAATCTATGTCTCAAAGTCCGAAATCAAGTTGTCAGCAGGGTTGGTTCTTTCTGAGGGCAGTGGGGGAAGGATCTGTTCCAGGCCTCTCCCCTTGGTTTATAAATGACTGACTTCTTCCTATGTCTCTTTACATCATATTCCCTCTATGGTTCTGTGTCCGCATTTTCCTTTTTTATAAGGTCACTAGTGATGTTGAATTAAGGCCCACCCTAAAGGCTTCATTTTTAACTTGATTACCTCTGTAACGACACTACTCCAATAAGGTCACATTCTGAGATACTGGAGTTAGGACTTCAACGTATGAATTTTGGGGCAACACAATTCAACCCATAGCACCATTGATCTGTTTTCTCTCCTTATAGATTTGCCTTTTCCAGAATATCATATGAATGAAATCATAGCTTCTATGGCCTTTTGCATCTGGTGTCTTTCACTTAGCATAGTGCATTTGAGATTCATCCATGTCGCATGTATCAGAAGTTCATTCCTTGTTATTGCTGAGTAATATTCCATTGTATGTATGTACCAGTTTGTTTATCCATTCACAAGCTGAAGGACATTTGAGTTGTTTCCAGTTTGCAGGAATTATAAGCATAGTGACTTATAAGTCTATAAACATTATAGTCATTATAAGTCACTGTAAACATTCACATACTGGTTTTTGTGTGCACAAATGTTTTCATTCCTCTTGAGTAAATACCTAGATGTGGGATTGCTAGATCATATGGTAAGTGTATGTTTAACTTTATAAGAAACTACCAAATTGTTTTCCAAAGTGACTGCTCCTTTTTTTTATGCCAACCAATGATATGTGAGGATTTAAATAATAAATAAAATTGTATTTTGTGACATCATTTGGTAATACTTAAGGATATTAATTCAGTATTGCAGAAATGATGGAAGCAAGGGGTATAGTTTTAACTCAGAGGTTATCTGCCTATACCACTCCACCCCAAGAAAAGCCCTTTGTAAGTAGCCTATTCTGAGGGGGGCGGGGGGGGGGGCGGATTCTTCTAATTGCAACAAGTTGTTTATACATATTTAGTTCTTAAAAATTTTATCAAAATAAAACATGCAAATAGGTTTTTAAAAACCACGTAGTACAGAAGCCATATAATGAAAAGCAATCATTCTGTGTTCCTCTGTCCCCTACCATCGGTTCCCTAACCTAGAGGCAAAATCTTTTACATATATCTGCTTTGGTTTTTTGGTTATTACCATTTTTGTTAATAATATACTCTTCCTACTATTTCTTGATACAATACCTTTAGACATTCTTTATTAATTTCCTGCCACTCTCCTCTGTTCACTTCTACTCTCTATATGTTCATATCACTATTATTAGCTCCTCTAACTGGCTACTTTTGTGACTTAATATAATACCCAAACTTCTGTCTACTTGTCTCAAACAAAGACATCATCCATTGAATTTCTCCTATAGTAGATGAGGATAATAGGACCTGTAGCATTCTATTTATATTCCTTTCCCCATCCCCTCCCATCTTCTGTCAATAACTTGGTCAAGGTGAATAACATATTTACAGTCTATTCTGTAACCCTAATTAGGTCTTCCCTGTTTTGCCTGGAAATTGATTTCAAAATTGAAAACTATAAAGATATCTACATTATGATTACTGATTATTTTAGTATTGTTCACTGAAGAGTCAAGATGGATTTCCTAATTTATGTCTCCAAGTCTTGATCCAAGTGCCACTCAATATGACAATGTACAAAACGGATTCTCTTTTCTTACTTCCCACCCATTGTTAGAAATCTAACTACACTTTGTGTTGCTTCATGTTTAGAATATTGACTTTCCCATACTGTTTAATGTTTCTTTGTTTTGCTTTGGGGTTTCTTAGAATCTTTTTGTTTTTCTTGTAGGATAAAGAAGTAAATGCATTCCACCCAATATCTTTAATATCATCCAGTTTCTTATTCATTCC